ATGAAGCAGTCTGCAAGTACCATGACAAACACAGTATTCACAGTTACAGAGAAAAGCAGTATAAGTTTGGTAGTGAGTAACCTTAAGTCTGGCTTACTGGAAGCCCCCCAAAACATACTGAAAGTATAAGCACATGATGCCTTCTGCAAAATATATAACTTAACAGCACTACTTGTCACTCAACTAAAAAAATAAATTAATAGGTAACATCTAACTCAGTTTTATCTGCATTCAAACTTAAGTGAGCTATTATAATATACCCATTTTCTACCCACTCTCCAGACACAGCTCTGTTATAGTTCTATATGACAAGTTAAAGTCAACCTGAGTTTTCATTCCAGATGTCTATTTATCAGCAATCTGTAATCTTTTCACAAAACTCTAGCAATAGTTACGAATTTAATGGATTGTACAGAGAATTATGGCTACCTTTAAGTGCTCTATATCCACAGTTGACTACTCAGAAAGTATAGAAAAGCCTACAACTTATTAACCATTCTTAAAGCCAGTGTCAACTGCAGAATAGCAAATATTCTGCACATCTGTGGAACTTATAGCACTTCTCCTAAAATTAAGAAAAAAATGCTCACTTACTCTAACATGGAAAAAAATAACGCTTTTTAGCATTATGAGAATGGACAGTCAAGGAACTAAATGCATTTTATGCTAATTAATCAGTCTTACTTAAATAGTCCTTGATGAATCAAGTGGACAGCATACTTTTGACAGAATTATAGTAGTAGTTTCGGGGGCCATGAGCTTTATGGAGCTGTTCCTTTGGTAGTACAGAGACTCAGAGTATATGATCTTAGAACTGCTATACAAACTGCACAAATAACTATCATGCAGTATTACCTCTCCTTTCTAAACTGAAATTTTGAAAATTCAAATACAAAGAAATTCAAGTGACTGAAACTGAAAACTATGCATCTATTCATCAATGATTCTCTAGCACTCACTGATCTTTGTAAGTCTAAGGCACTGCAAGCCCTCAAAGGATATAATTACAGTCTTTATGTCATACCAGTTGACACTTCCTGAAATTAAACTCTACTTCCAAGCTACTTAAATTAAAAGTTACCAAAATATCCTCAACCTAATGCTTTAAGTACAATGGATTTTCCTGTGAAAGAAAAAGGGAGGTGCTCCGCCCTTATTTTTAAATCAAAACATTTTCAATATTTTAGCAGCCTTTCAAAAAAAATGATACATGAAAAGTAGGGTGCGAACACGCCTTTCCGCACTGCACAACACGTTGTTGTGCATTTAGTCCATGTTTTAGTGTTTTGTTATCTGCAAAATGTGTGTCCATGGGGAAAAAGTAGCAAGAATTTGCCTGCATACTAACAAGGACTACAATATGAACCACTCTTTCTTTCCATATCCATTAAAACAATGCTATAGGAGGCACAGTGATATTCACCTACAGCTCTGGAGGGCACTTTATAGCACAATCCCATGCTGTCTCTCTAATTGCTGTCTTCCAAATCTACAGCTTTAAAGACTGAGACCTGTCTTTACCTCGTCAAGCGCAAGTCTGCAGCAGACATGAGAATAACAGCCTGAAGCTCTCACCTGTCTTTGAAGGACAAATATGACTATCAAGGACTTTGGTGGGTGGGAAAAACACAGCTGCAGTAATAGTGTCATTTAACAACAGTCTATGACGGTACTGGAGAACTGCAAGAAAATGTCTTTTGAGAGGCCAAAAAAGAAGCCAACCTCCAAACGCAGAATGCCAACCAAACACAGCCCTTTTCAGTATGTGATGGAAGGCTTCACACGCCTTATTTTCCATGGAGTAACGAGGAATAAAATTAGCAGGTTGCAGAAAAGCTGAGCTTAGAACATAGGTCAAAAAGCATTAACAGATCATTGCTCTTTAACGCATAGCTTTGATGAAAAAAGTGTCTTGAAAATAGAACGGGAACAGAAATGGCCTTGTTTGATGCAACATTTACCCTTGCAAGACCACTAAGAGCCGCCTGTTCTTTCTGGTGTACGCGGCCTGGCGGACGCTGTGGGTTTGCTGGGCCTCCACAACACCAGAGAGGTAACGCTGGAAGTGGGCGGCACTGAAACATTCAGCACTATCCAAAGTTTGTCGATACACCAGCCACCTAAAAAGTTAAAAAATAACACAATTTTTCTTATTAAAAAATAAGACACAGTATTTCCGTTTGCTTCTTATTTTGAAGCAAAAACCAAGACTAGATTTGTTAAAGTCTAAGATTCTCTCTTAGATAGACAGATTCTCTCTATCTTAGTCTTGCATTGTTTCAGTGTAGTTATATTCCTTACATTTCCGACAAAAGGATGTGTGGCTTTTAGGATTTTTAATTTAATTATTAACAAAACATTGTTCAACAGCTTCTTCAAAGCAGCACACCAAATGAGTAATTCTGATCTACATTAATGATACAACACAGTTTTGTTCACAGTAAAAGAAAATAAAACCTCTATGAATCTAATTTACAAGACTTTGGCCATGAAAATATTTCACTGCAAAAATAAAAAGCAATGATGACATTTGCAGGAAAACATGACGAAACGTAGCACAGAACATTCAAAAACCTCTTACATGTTTGCACTAAAAACTAATCCACAAAGTATTCTGTGAATTAATTTGCAAACAGAAAAGATGGAATCAAAAATAACACAGCAAAAGAATCTAGAATGTTACAAAGATTAAACCTCAGAGTTTCAGGCTATAAGATTTAAAAAGAAAAGAATTTCTTCTAGTCTTTCCTCAAACAACAAATGGTACTAACACACAAAACAAGAAATTTCTAGTGAGTTTGTCTTAGTGCCATTCAATGGTAGGTGATATATTCAGGACCTCTGCTGTAGAATACAAACTAGGGCAAACTGAAACCTATGCTGTAGCAAAATTGTTAGCACAAGCTTTTCTCTGAGAAGAAAAAAAATGTACTTTGGACTTGCTACCATGGAAATCAATAAGTGGAAGTTCTTCATCTGTTCCCTTCAAGCTGCGACAACTACCACTTTCATAGTAGCTTAAGCCAGGATTCATTTTGGCCCCTCTAGGATTATTAGCTGTCTGTGGGAGCGGGGATATTTCTAGATGCAGACAGCACAGATCTAAAATGCAAGCTGTGGTATTTCAATTCTTAATATGGAATATCTACAAGGAATTTCTCCTGGTGGTCTTCTTGTCTCAGGGTCCAGTATCTAAGGGCAGATCTACTTGGCATAACACAGTTAATGAAGATATCTGAAGTGACATAACTGCATCAAGACTAAAATACCCTCAGGTACCTCCTAATATTTATCATAGAATCACAGAATGCTTAAGGTTGGAAGGGACCTCTAGAGGTCATCCAGTCCAACCCCCCTGCACACGCAGGGTCACCTAGAGCACGTGGCACAGGACTGCGTCCAAGAGGGTTTTGAAGATCTCCAGAGAAGGAGATTCCACAGCCTCTCTGGGCAGCCTGTTCCAGCGCTCTGTCACTCTCACTGTTAAAAAATTCTTCGGAATTCATGCGGAGTTCATGCGGAACCAAGAGTTCATGCGGAACTCTTGGTGCTTCAGTTTGAGGCCATTACCTCTAGTTCTGTCGGTGGCCACCAGTGAAGAGAGGCCATCCTCCTCACTGCCTCCCTTGAGGTACTTATAGACACTGATTAGGTCCCCTCTCAGCCTTCTCTTCTCCAGGCTGAACAGGCCCAGCTC